AAAGTTGTTGGAGAAAGAGAGGTGCCAAAGGAAGAAGTTGAATGGAATGATGAAGACTTGGGGAAGATCATGATCAACAACAAAGCAATCAACATACTTCAATGTGCTTTTAATCCAACGGAGTTCCATAGAGTATCCGAATGTGATACGGCCAAGGAGATGTGGGACATGTTGGAGGTAACACGTGAAGGAACAAGTCAAGTGAATGAGTCAAAAATCAATAGACTCATTTACATGTATGAGCTTTTCAAGATGAAACCGTAAGAGAGCATTCAAGATGAAACCGTAAGAGAGCATTCAAGATGAAACCGTAAGAGAGCATTCAAGATATGTATACAAGATTGAATGATATAGTCACCAATCTCAAAGCTCTTGGTAAAGTTTATCCTTCTCAAGAAGTGGTGAGAAAGGTTTTTAGAAGCTTGCCTAAGAATTGAGAAGCCAAGAAGACCGCAATTAAAGTGTCTAAGGATTTCAACACCCTTAAGCTTGAAGATCTTATTGGAAAATTGATGACATATGAGATAGAAGTTCAAGTTGATGGTGGAGTTGAAGTAGTTGAGAAGAAGAAGAAGGATGTTGCATTCAAGGCTAGCAACCAAAAGGAAAAGAGTGAAGATGATGCCAGTGATGGTGAAAACATCTCCACTTTGATCTCTAGAGAAGTGAGGAGATTCAAGAAGAAGAACATCAAGAGCAAGCTTGCAAAAAGAGATGAAGGAGAGTCTACCAAAAGAGTGTGAAATGCTATGAGTGCAACAAGATGGGGCACTATAGAAATGAATGTCCCAAATTGAAGAAGGGTGAGAAGAAAGGCAAGAAGAGCATGAAGAAGAAAGCTTTTGCTACCACTTGGAGTCATGATGAGACTAGCTCAACGGAAAGTGAAAGCTCTTTGGAGAAAGGTGTTGCAAATCTTTGCTTCATGGCTCAAGAGGATAGCAACCATGATGAGGAGGTAAACTCTAACTTCTCTAGTTCAAGTAATAAATGTTCATTTGAGTATTCTTATGATGATTTATGCAAAGTTCTTGATTGCTCTATGAATGACATTAAGAAATTAGGAAATGAGAATATTGCTCTTACTAAACCATTTCATTGCTTAGGAATGAAATTGAATCTCTCTCCAAACAAAATGAGGTTTTAGTTAAAGAGAATGCCTTTTTAAATGATGAGATTGCTTCTTTAAAGAATGAGGAGTCTAATACTGCTTTGAAAAAGGAAAATGAGGATTTAAAGAAGGAAAATGAAGATTTAAAGAAGGACAATGAGGTTTTAAAGAGAAAAGCTTGTGATCTTGAGAATGTGATTTCCAAATTTACCTTGAGTAAAGAAAAATTTGATTCTATTTTAAAATCTCAAAGAAGTATTTATGAGAAAGGGGGCATTGGAATTGATTATTCTAAAAAGCAAAAGACTTTTAAGAATTCTTTTGTAAGAGCAAGTCAATCCTCTCATCCTAATGTTACTTGCTATTGTTGTGGTGCAAAGGGACACTTTGCCTATGTATGTCCTTTGAAGAGATTGATAGCTCAAGGTAAAGTGAAGCAAATTTGGGTTCCAAAAGGAACTTTAAGCACTAGCCCCCATGGACCCAAGCAAATTTGGGTACCAAAAATCAAAACTTAATTTTGTTTTGTAGGAATAGTTGATGGCAAAGTCATAAGGAAAGCAAAGTTGATCTTAATAAAGACTTATGCCTCAACAAGAATGTTAGAGTGGAAGTGCAAAGGAAATTTGTTTTTGAATGCTCCACTCATGTGCTCAAATTGGTATTATTTATTTTATTGCATTTATTCATTGACTATAATTACTTCAACATGACTATTAATGATTCGTTTATGTGTGTTCACTCTTTGATATATATGCTTGTTGAATATGATATGATTTGATGTGATTATTAAAATTTATGCAAATTAATGAGCTTGGCATGTTAGATCCTAATGCTTGATATGACTTTTGAAATTAATGTATTTGCTTATTAGAATTTATGCATATTGATGACTTTGATATGTGTACCTTGATTATAATCATGTTATTTGATGATGCACACATTGAAATATGACTAAAATTGCATGATTTAATAGTTGATGTCCAATCTAAACTTGGTAAAATGAAGGAATATCAAATTAAGTGCATTTTCTTCAAAACAGTCCCAAACCTTTTATTTGTACCAATCAAGGCTAGTACAGCCGGCCGCAAGTTTTTCACAGCTGGCTCAACCCAAAAGCCTGAGAGTTTTCTCTCTCTAACAGTAAGTCGGCTCTAGGACTGAAGTTGGCTCTCCTACTGCTTTTTAAATCATTCGGGCTTCTCTCTCTTTGAACCAGATCTGTTATTTTCTCTCCCAAAACTCGTCATTTACTCTCCCAAACACCAAAATCCCTCAAAATATCCCAAAACCCATCCCTCAAATACTTAAATACCTTTAAACCCTTACCTACCCAACACAAATCCACAAGCTTTTTGCTCCAATTTTGGTTGGGATTTGCTGAGTTCTCTCTCTCATGGCTTCAAGAAAGGGCAAAAGCAAAAGGAAACAGATTGGGAGTTCTAGTGCCGGTGGCCAAACCCAAGAAGAAGGTAACCTCGTTGATAATGCTCTATTTGTGGATGATGATGCCATTAATCACTATAATGTTGTCAAAAACTTGGCTGTGTTACCATGCAACAATGTGAGTTTAGTCAGTTTCCTCAAGGGAATATGCATGTAGAAGAGATGTTTAGGGAACTTGGATGGAGCAATTGTTTAGAGATTAAGGAACATGTGTATAATGATGTGGTTCACCAATTCTATGCAAATTTGAAACAAAAAAGGGGAAAGTGCACAACTATGGTTAATGGGAACACAATTCAATTTTCACGTAGAGTGATTTGTAATGTGTTAGATATACCAGACGGTGGAGATGATGAATTTCAGAATGTCAACCATGAAGCAATTAGACTCGCACTTGCACCAACATGTGCTACAAATCATATTAGTGTGAGCTTTCTTTCACCAGAAAACAGAGCATTGTAGTAGATTATTAATCGTATTCTTGCTCAAAGAAAGAGGTCTAAGTCTTTTGTGCTTACTAGTGATCTTCCTTGGTTTGATTATCTTCTGAAGTGGAAAAGGTTGAACCTTGATAGATTTATTTACCACAACATTATCAAGAATTACTCCTTAGATATGGGTTTTCCGCATGGTGCATTGATCACTAGGCTAGTAAAGAGGAACAACATTGATCTTGAATCTTTTAAGCATGGGAAAATTAAAGCTGGGACTACTCTCACTCAAGCATCCTTTGAGAAAATGCAAATTGTGTTCCAGAATGGTGATTGCAGGAAAAGAGGGGATCAAGCAATGGGACAGCAAAGTGACGAAGAAGAAGGTGATGCAGATTAAGAAATGACAGAACAGAGGGAAGAAGAACATGGAGGTGACAGCCCAAGACCCTTGCGAGCCTCCATGCAAAGGATTAATCGTGAAACCATGGAGCTTATGATAAATGAGATGCGACAGCTGCACACCGACTTCTATGGTTTCTGGACGAAAATGAGAGGGAGAATGGATACCATTGATGGAAAGCTTGATCAGCTTGTTAACCATTTTTTTCCTCCACCCCCACCTAGTGCCACCTAACCTGATATTTCTTTAGTTTGGCTAATCTTTAGGATGGACATCTTAGGGTTATGCATTTTATGTTTTTAGGCTTGTGACTATGTTTTTCTTTGACTATGGATATTTCTTGAACCTTTTTTATCATGTTTTATGAATGGAAATGGCATCACTTGTGTGATCATACTTTGTGAATGGTTGTTTATGATTTTGATGACTATATGCTCTTATTGAGGGGAGTATTTTGTGCTTAAATTACTCTTCTTAATAGTTATCATGCTTAAATGCTTTAAAGATTGATGTGCATGAATTAAGGGGGAGTTTGTTGATTATGTGCTTTTTGATGAATGACAAAAAGGGGGAGAAGAATATGTTGAATTTAATGTCATTTTTTGGAGTACCTTGTACTGAAATTCTGGTTAATATTGAAGTATATATGTGCTGTCATAAATTAATTCTCAAAGTGTTTTGTCATCATCAAAAAGGGGGAGATTGTTGTACCTACGATTTTGATGATTACAAAACACATTTGAGTGACTAATTGGTTTATTTAAGTGTGTAGTTAAGTTGCTAAAAGATTGTAAGTAAACTTGGACTACACTAAAAATAGACCAAAATGATTGAAAATGTGCAGAGAGCCGGCTCTGGTGAAATGGAAGTGTAGAGAGCCAGCTTTGAAAGCTGCAGCTGGCCTACGGGTAAAGATTTAAAGGTCCGTTGTTTGGCGCGCGCGGAGAAAAGATGTAGAGTCGGCTCTAACTTTGCAGCCGATTGTAAGGGCGCATTTAATGCACAACGGTCGACTTATTTGAAGAATAATTAATATTTTTTAAAGTCGAAATACCAAAGTCGGCTCTAGGTTTTTTGCAGCCGACTATGGAAGAAAATAAAATGTGCAGTAAACTCGCAAAGCCGGCTTTACGTTTTGGAGCCGGATCTACGGAAAAAACAAAATGTGCAGAATCCCGCAAAGCCGGCTACAGAAATGGTGAGCCTGTTGTGTAGAACCGGCTCTAGGAATTTAAGCTAGCTATCCTGACAATCCTACAACTCGAGCTTTGCATCCTGCAGAGCATTTAATGACCCCCAATGGTTAGAAATGGCTATTTTCAAGCAAGAGGTTATAAATATGGTTGGTAACATATCTGAAGAAGTTTAGAGAGCATTGAATTGAATATCTTTACCTACCTACATGAACTTTAACTTGACTTTTTGATCTTTGAGAAATCTTTACTTGTAATCCTCTTCTTGTTCTATTTGTGAGTGATCTTGGGGGTGTGATTAATCCTTCAAGAGTGATTTGTAGATAGGATTCTTGGGGTTTAAGTGTAAAGGGGTGAGATTTGAGAGAAACACCCTTCTTCTTGTAAAAGGATTAAATGGCTCCTTTAAGCCACCCTTGTTGTTGTTAGTGGAGAGTATGGAGGAAATCCTTGGTGAGTGAAGCTAAGGTAGAGGACTAGGCTCCAAGTGGTTGGACCAAACCTCTATAAATCATTGAGCAAGCTCTTCTTCTCTACTTTCTTTAATTTTGGTTTTGTGGTTATAAAAAAAGGAGAATTTTTGGAACTCCAATTCATCCCCCCTCTTGGAGTACATTGAGTCAATAGATCTATGGCTATATCTTTGGACCCTAATGCCCTAGCCTCATAGAAAGATAAACTTTTAAGTTTAGGTGTGGATAACCACATCACCCTATCGTCTTTTACAATCTCAAACTGCATGGAAGAGGAATCTGATGTGACAAGGATCCAAAGGATGACGTGTAACACCTCACATACCTTAGTGAATAATTTAAAAATTAGAGTCCTTTAATTTATAGTTTTAGAGATTAAATTGATTAAATTTAAAGTTTAGGGATTTTAAGTAGAACTTAGTAGGAGTTGAATGACCTTAATTCAATTATTCTAATTTTTCTTACCACATGGCATTATACCAACCAAGTTTTTTTTTCTTTGTCGGTTGGACTTGGATAATCCTCTAGAAGGCTCCCAAAAGCCCCCATTCTTTTTGTGTGCCTTCCTCTTCCACCTGCATCTTTCTTCCTTCTTTCTCCAACTAAGATTAAGGTGCTTTTTTATATAAGTATGAATTTTGATTATAAATTTTGGTTAGAGTTCTTTTTTTATTTGGGTAAATTATAGAAAAGTTAGTTTAAATGAGTGGAATTTGACCTCAAAACTCTAGTTTAGTAGATCTTTGGGCATTAAAAATTTATTAGAAATATGTCAAATTTTGGGGTTGTATGAGAAGAACAGTGAATTATTCCTTGTTTTTTTATGTTTGATTTAGTATTTTGGTGTGTGCTTAATTCTTCAAATCATTATATACTACAACGTATGATTTCAATTCCTGTATGGTTGTTGACGAACAAGAAGGAAAATTCCTGTAGTTAAACATGAAGGTCAACTTACACACTTAGAAAACAGTTTATAGTTTCAATATAGTTAATATTTTGAAATACCATCCTTGGATTAAGTATTTTATTCATGTTGCATCCCAAATTTCACATTGAATATAATTAATTATTTTGTTGGTTATATGAAATTTTATATGGCTAAATGTACTCGCCATATTCCTTTTCAATTCACCTTTTAGATTTTTTTTAAAAGTTAATAATTAGCCTTGATAATAAAGGGATATAAAAGTCCAAAGTTCCAAGTTACCCTTTCTTAATTTAGGTGGCAAAATTTTTGCAGTTAATGAAGACAGTGAATATTGAGGGTAAAACAGAAAAATACAATTAGAGGGGAATGAAAAAGATTTCATAAAAGGACAATTAAAAAGAAGCACAATATGTAGAAAATATGGGTTTTTTTTTTTTTTTTTTATCAAACGGTTGTATAACCTCTCTAAAAATTGTTTATTGCAAGTGAGATTCAAATTAAGAATTAAGCATGTGTTTGATAACCTCTTAGAAAAACACCACTTTGTAGAATTATAATACCCTGAAATTTCTAATTATTTAGAATATTTTCAAAATATATAAAATAGATAAATAAATGAATAAATAAATAAATAATTGGATGACGAGAAATTTAATTAGTCTAGAAGAGAGGACTTGACTAAAAAGGTTTTTATAAGAGGACCAAGTTGTCTAGATCTTCAATATTAAGGGTTTAAAGAGATAAGGGACCAAGAATTTTTTGTTCGATTAAAATACCAAGAAAGACCCTCCTCTGCGTTTTCCCTTGCTCATCCAGAGACTATCCTTATACCCTTGGGAAGCCGCATATCCCTCTCCTCCAGAATACGTTTTCTTAAGGACTTGATTCTTCTCTTTCTTTTCTCTTTAAGGAACATCCAGAGACTATCCTTAAACCCTTGAGAAGCCGCATATCCCTCTCCTCCAGAACACGTTTTCTTAAGGACATGATTCTTCTCTTTCTTTTATCTTGAAGGAACGAATTTAGGAACTAGGAATCCCTCTAACAGTGCAATATATGAAGGAAAATTTCAGAGTTGCTGCTGCTGTTTCCTCCTAAATTCGCGACTTGTCTGCAGTGTGAGTGTGTTCTTTTCCAATTTTTTCTGGTAAGAAAAACAACCACGATTCATCTTTTCATCCTTGATTTGAAGTATGTCGATTCTAATCCTTTATTCATTCCCTTTTTAGGTGGATTTCCCTAACTCTTTCTCCGTCTCTGCTCGATTTCCATAGACACCAGTTTCCAACTCCTCAACAAAAGACTTCGGTATGTTAACAGTCGTTAAGTCCGAATTCTAGTTCTCTTAATTGTTGTGTGGTTGTTCATTGCTTGGTTAATGAAACATGTAGTCTATGGTTTAAATTTTGGTGTCACTAAGGGCTGTTTTATTTTACTTTTGGGTACAGCCAATTTAATCTGATTTGCTGCACTTTTGGGCACTGTTTAGTTGCTGTTTTTGTTCCCATCTTACTCTGTTCTTGTACATGAGTTGTGCGTTTCTGCTGAGAAAATTCTGCCCAATTACATCATGTCTTACTTGCCGAAAATATGTCATGAAACATGTATTTTTTTGCACTAATAGCCGTGATAACTCCCCTAATTTGGTCACTTAAGAGCTCTAACTTTTCCAGCAGTTAACTTGCTGAAAATTTTGTTAGAGTGCTTAAAATGTATCACGTTAAGATGTTGTTTCCTCCACCAAGTCACCGTTGTTTTCTATGGTTTTTAGCTACTGAACTTGCTCTGTTATGGCCTATTTTAGCTGTTGTATATCCCACTTATTTACATAAAATTTCTGTCATTTTAGCTGGAGTTTAAACTTCAAAATACTGCTTACAGCCACCTAAATTCTAGTCTGTTTTCTCAACAGAATCATATGCATATTTGCCTTAAACATGCACTAAAATTTGCTTAACTCATTAGATAGATAAATAAAAATAAAAAAGAATGCAGCATTTGTTTAGGTGAGGTTGACGCAAATTCAATCTTCTAAAATTTCTTTTATACACCGTTTTGACAACCTATAATCCATGCCATTGTACCTGACTTCTATCATTATAATATTTGGGGATATCCTAGTGGTTTTATATTCCGATATTCTATTCAATTAGTTGATGACTCATAATTACTCTGTTTAGGTTCTTGATTAAATCTGTCATCCTAGTTCTTGTTTCTTGTGTTGTTCTTGATTTTCTACAATGTAGGGTAAGTAAATTTATGGATTTACCCATAGTTTTACCCATAGTTTTAAACTGAGGTTTAAAAGGTATATTTTGAACTGTTTTGTGGTGGTTGTGGGACTTAACCCATTTTATTATGGTATGAGCTTGACATGTTTTGATATAAAGGTTTTTATATCTGTTCTTTACTAAAAAGTTGAGCACGCCTTGTCATGTGATACCTCCTAAAATATATAGATTACATGAGATTATGAATCAAAAAGGTTTTCTTCAGGTCGGACTACACATTAAAATTGCAGTCTGGACCCTGAAATTACTAAAGTATCCTTAATAATAATAGAAATCTTTCTTATTTTTATTTATTAACAGTAATTTAGTAATTTTAGTGCTAGGACTGCACTTTTAATATGCAGTCGGGACTGATACTTGATACCCTTTTCTAAAAGCCAAAAGTAAATTAAAAAATTTCTACTTCTGCTCCGGCTAATTTCCTCTACGCTCTCCCTCTTTTCCCAGTCATTGACTTCACCCTCCTGGTTGGAGCACCACTCATTAGATCAGCTATCCCCTCCTCAAGCGTCATAAGATTGATATCATTCTTCCCAAATCTAATCAAACAGTGATAATTGAATTGATCATCAATTTCTGTTGTCTGAATTAATCATGGGTTTTGAATTTTTTAAATGTAATTTTATGACTGGATAAATTGAAGTTTGTGAGTAGATAAGTTTCACTGTGCATATATATATATATTTATTTCTTATTCTGTTGTCTGCATTTAGCCTTCTTTATTTATGTGCCAAAATAGTACAGGTTGCTAATTTTGAAGGCTGGGAAAGCAGGGGCCAAGCCTATTGTTTTGTTACACTAGCTTTTTCCTGTACCGTTTTTAAGTTGTGTTGTGGGTGCAGAGCAGGAGAAAGCAGTACTGATCTTCAGGTTCTACTCTTGATCTTATCCTGGTTCCACCCCTGCCCAATTAACAACTGGTATACTAACTTTTTCCTGTAACATTTTATTTCATATACTGTTGTCTACATTTTACCCTTCTTTATTAAGCTGTCGTGGGTGCAGAGGAGAAGCAGTGCTGATTGTCAGGGTTCAACATGTCAATCCCTCCAAACTCCCGGTTGAGAGGATGCGCTGTATACTTTCCACAGCCCATGAGTGAAAATGACGAACGTGCAGTTCAATTTTTGGATGAACATGTTTACTACTTCAATTGCCGTGTACCGCAAGAACCTCTGGCTGATATTGAATACAGGAACAGTAGCAGGGACTTAGACATTTGCTGCCATGTATTTCGTTGGGATGTCACCCCCTATGAGCAGGTATTTGAAAATGGATTCAGTGCAAGGCGTCAAGAAGGCACTTCAGACGACATTTTCTTCAATTTGGATCACTATGTACACCATGGCGGTAGGCCTCTCAATTCCACCAGGGCAACAACACATGCGTTTTGAAGCACCACGATTAGTAGTGGTTGGCATCCTCAACTGCCCACCCCTGGGACTGAGCGTCAAGTGTATCATTACGAGATTTATGCTCATGGTGGCATTTTGGTTAGAGATACTCTTCGTGATTGTTATCAATATCGTTCACAAGACGAAGTTTGCTTTGTTGCTGGCATCGCTCCTCAATACATTCGCTCTGCTCAATTATTGAGGCTTGTCCGTAATAACAGTTGGTAAGTGCCATTACTGCTAAATTAAGTTGTAATTGTAGAATTTTAATAATTAATATAAATGTATTTAAAAAATTAGCTAGAATTCTGATAAAAATATTACTATATTCAGGATATCTGAACATGACTAATTAAAATAATATTGTGTAAATGATGAATTAAAATTAACCATAAAGTTTGTCAAGATTACCCCTATATATAAAGGATTTGCCAAGTACATAATCTTTCCGAAAGAACAATACTCAATGTACAGATACCAAATTATTAGGAAACATGAATAGGGGATCTACCCATGTTTATACCGAGGCAAAGTATTTCATCATATTGGAAGTCTAAAAACCGAGAAGTCATATTCTGGTTGGGAGTAACAGTTATTCTTTGATCAAATCATGAAAGTAAGGATTTTCAAAAACAAAAATCATGAAAGTAGGGTAAAATTGGAACTTCAATTTTACTTTAGTATCATAGTTTGATTAAGGAATAGACAGTGCTGTCAATATCGGTCATAATGACTTGTTGTACAATAGCTTAGAGGAAAATGAATAGGGACACCTTAGATGCTATGGCGGCTGCTATGCACATAGCAAATGGGGCTGTAGCTAGGGTTTTATTTTCTTGGTAACTTTTTGATTTTTTTTTTTTAGAAGGATAATGGTTAAGAAGTTAGTATGAGTTAATTGTTAGCAACTGGTTCTCAGATTGTGTGAACATTCCACTTCTTAAAATGAGGCGCGCGGCCATCAGGCCGCTTTTTGGTGGAGTTCACGACGATGGTAAAGTTCGAAACTCCAACCACCTCACCCAAGCACTTAAGGTTTGGGATCGAATCATTGGGCCACAAGGTCCGGTTCTTGGTAATTTTTTGATTGTTATAACTTTATCTGTTGAAGAATATTATTGGTGTGAATTTTGTTAATTTTTATAATCTATTAGATATTTTATACCTTTTTGTAACTAGGTTTAGCTTTTTTGCTATTTGTTCCTACGTTTCTGGCAAAAAAAGAAAAAAAAAAAAAACTTGTTTGCTACTAGTTGCTATCTATGATAACATTGGGAAGCTATTATTCTCACCCAAACATAACCGAAGTCGTAATAGGCTCTGGGTCTCTAGACCAGTGGTTTCACATTATCACCAATGAGATGTTTTATGAGCCATGCAAAATTGTACTAGTATATGATAATTTGACCTCCCTCACCTGTCTTGATAACACACTAGCATATATGTGAACCTATTTTACTCAACCAAAATATCAATTGATAGCAGCTCTTCCAAATGGAAAGTACCTAACAATGTAATTATAAAAGTTAATGAATAATTTGTTTTTGATATATAATGCAGGAAACTTAATACTTGTGCAGGCATACAAGTCGAGTAAGAGAGGATAATAGAATAATATTGAATGAATACTTCAATCCGCAATCACATCCGAATAGGCTGCTCCGCATTCAGAGGGCTGTATATTATTACCTCGATGACAACCATGAGAGGAGGCGTCTGGAAATTTCACTTACATGGGTGAATGCTCCTCCCAAGTCTCTGGTGACCACGGTGAGAGAAAGCTTCTTAAACGTTCCATTTACATGTCTCAAGATACCTCCCAAGAAGACAAACAACAGATCCCTGATGACGACATTATAAAATGGTATGCTGACGATGTAGCCGACATTGATACCTATATAAATGCTGCATTCCGTTCATCTGATGATCATCAGAATGAAGCCTATCTATTCATGAAGAACGAGTACGTGCTCTTGAACTATGCACCTGGCACAACAGATGACAAGATTGTGAATGGACCGCTTCTTATTTGTGATGGATTCCCATCACTGACAGACACGGCGTTTGGAGAAAATGGAATTGACTGTGCTTTTGCTTGTAATGGTGGCGCTGAAGCATTCATCTTTCTGGAAATCTCTGTGCTCGCATAAACTTTGCACCAGCAACTAAAGATGACAAAATACTTGAAGGTCCGAAGACCATAATTGCCATGTTTCCATTCTTGAGGAATACTGCATTTGAAAGCGGGGTGGATGCTGCTTTTGACTCAACAAGGGAAAACGAAGCTTACATCTTCAAAGACAGCCAGTATGCTCTTATAAATTACAGTTCAAAGACCCTCGTCTATGCCATTCTTGCTATCACCGAAGGCTTTCATAGCTTGAAAGATACCATATTTGAAGATGGAATAGAGGCAGCATTTGCTTCTCACAGAGAAGATGAGGCTTACCTATTCAAAGGAGATAAATATGCGCTCATCAACTTCGCTCCAGGAACCACTGACGACTACATTATTGGTGGAGTGAAGGATATCCTTACAAATTGGCCCTCTCTTCGGGAAATGCCTCTGCCCCGCAAGAACTGCGGTCTTGATGTACATGATCATGATCATGATGACACTACTGCGGCTGACCGTGACCATGATGAACTCTAAGAGGTCTCAGTTATGATAGGGTTCTTCTTGCAATTTATATATACTAAATAAATGGTAATGCACCTTGAGGTTCCTACTTCCTACTTCCTACTTCCTACAGAAGTGGTCTGTATGTGGGTTACTTGTGCAATGAGTCTCTCTTTCATTTGGTTTGAGTTGATGTTCGTAACTCTTGACTGGATGATAGCCCACTCTGGGGCTCCGCTGGCTTTGTACCTTTTTTTAGTTTTTTTATTAATTCCAATAAAGATTGTTTGAGTGTCAATCATATAGTAATATAGCCTTTTCTTTTTTCTTTTTCTTTTCGTGATATACTCCTTCGGTCCTTTTTGTGATTTATTTTTTTATAGTAAGGGTTTAGGGATAATAATTATATTTGTTTATAACATTACTAAAAAGTATTAATAGAAAAAGAAAATATTTTGTAATTAAATGATTAATTAAAGTAAATAGATAATAATAGAATTAAAGTAAAAAAAATATTTATTTATTTTAAAATATAAAAAAATATTAATTTAATAAAAATTTAAAATAAAAAATGATAATTATTTTAAGAGAAATAGATATAGAACTATTTTTGACGAGTCCAGTAAGGAGAATCCTCATCCAAACAACCTGATCCTGATGGTTTATTACCCTTCATGCCCAGCAATTATTTTTGTTGAGGCGATATGATAATTTGTTTTATCCTTGATCTAGCACAAGTGTACAATTTTGCTCGATATTTGGTTAGGAGAAATCATATTTTAGTTTTGGATTTATCCAACGTGTTTGTTCTAGTTTATTTAAAATTAAAAATAAACTAACAAATGAAAATATTTAAATTATTAATATTAAAAACATGTTAGATTAGACAAAATTACTAATCGTTAATTTTAGATATTAATTTTAATTTAGTATAACCTCAATTTAAAACAATTTCAAGGTGTTTAGTATTTTAAAATTAATAATGTTTTCTTATATTCACCATAAGAGAATACATGATCTAACGTTTTACATGTTAAGACTAACCTCTTATTTAATAATTTTAGAGTCACATCCTTTATATCCATACATTTAAAAAAATTAATTCTATAATTTAAATTTTGAATTTAACTCATAAAATAATATTTCCTTATCCGTAGATCTAATTTTTGAGATTGAAATTAACATCTTGATTGTTTGAGGGGAGAGGAGAAAACAAATTATTATAACTAATTAAATCATTTCGTCAACCAACAACTTTATTTGATTGGTAAAAATAAGGCCACCTCCCTTCTCCATTTCTCTCAGCCATATAAGTTAAAAAAAAAAAAAAAATGTAGTTAGAAGACCGATGAAATTGAAGGGAAATAAACTACAGCATTTTCAATCATGTTTGTCTACAAAGTCAGACACGATCAACGAAAAGAAAATCGAGTTTGCAGCTCACATTACTTATTGTTGAATTCCAACAGACACCAAAATGAATCACTATAAATATATATATTCACAGGGATTCCTCTCTGTTATGGTATGTTAAGCAACTTTGCATACAACGAGCATGCTCCTTATGCCGGTATCAAGGGAGGGATGGGGAACAAAACAAAAGCGGTGCAACCAAACCAGAATTTCTGAAGAGGCTTCACTCATTTTAGGACCAACCATCCCGTACTAGCTTTTTACTTGAAGAAAGAAAAACAAAAATTAAAATTTCACTTGACTTGTACAGTATCTGGCCATCAAGCAGCAAAATTACTTGCATGCATGCTTTTTAGGAGAACGGAGAATTGATAGAAAAGAACCATTTGTACAGATCACCTTTCACATGAAGTAGCTGAGAGCCTTCTTTCTTCTCGAACCACCCTCGCCATACAGTTCATTCCATTGTAGTAGCTCTGTCATGTTTACAGACTCGGATGAAACACTTGCACATACCTGTTAAAATACAAAAGAAAACTAAGATTCAGCCCGCAACAGAAGCAATTATTATAGAAATAAATATCGTTTAATTTTCAATTACCCGTTCATGAGCATATTTAAAGTCATCCATGTTCAGAGGCCGAATGTCAGCACTCCCACTCAAAGCTGGAGGAGGTTTGCCTTCTGCTAGAGCAGCAGCACGCTCCTGGCACCACTAGATAATGTTAGGACCAGAAGATATGGTACACATAAAATAATGATCAGATGATAGACAACGCTGAAGGAACATGTAATATTCCATACAGCTAACCTTATACTTCAATTCATCTCTTTCTACTCAATTTATAATTTGAAAATGAAGGTTAATACAGACTCTCTAAAAGAAATGCATTCTTAGCACTTGACTTCTACATCATGATCAAAACCATTAACAAAGTGTCATAACCCCTTAGCTTTTGCTTGGCTCAATGCAATGGATAATCCATGGTTATTTCAAGAAAACTACAGAAACTTGAAGCAGAGTATGGCAGAGTAGGAATAAGGTTCTCTTTTAATTAGTAAAAGTAAGGTGGGAAGGAATAACTAAAATGTAGGACGATGGGGATAGTTTTTATTTTTATACACATTAAAATAAAACAAATAAATCTGACTGTGCTAGACTGTCCCTCTATTTTACTTTATCTCCCATAACCATGGAATTGCCATTCCATTGATCCAAATGACTTCAAATGACTTCTTGGATCTACTGATAGGTTCCCTGTGGAGGTCCTTGTGTATGTTATATGCTCTTATTTGTCTTTTTACATATTAATCTGTGATTATTGTGTTTTTGGTGAGGTGCCTGGTTATGCCCGTGACTTTAAATATGAATTTTGCCTATACCTAAAATGTATTTCTTAGCAGCCTGCCAATTTGTCTTCAGAACAAACAAAACTATCATTCATCCCTACTTAATCTTGCACTAATTGAAACCTTGATAAATCTAAACGAAAATTAATCATATAAAAACCACCTTTTTTTCTTTTTCCAATATCTCTTTAATTGGACGGTGCGCAGCAGTGACACATAGATTCTGCAAGAAGATAGAGTAGGTATAAGCAGTTGCTTCAGAAGTTAAACAAGGTATTGCATAAAAAACTAAAAAAGGTGACCTTAAGGTCGCTGCCAGAGTATCCATCAGTCATGCTTGCAACAGCATCAAAATCAACATCAGGAGATAAATCTTCTTTTGCAAGTATAACTTTTAGTATCTTTGCTCTATTTGGAGCATCTGGCAAATTTACCATCAATCTGCCAAAGAATATAAATATGTATCACCAAAGCATTAGGGCCAGTTAGTTACTATATGCAAACAACATTTTGAAAGGCAACCTAGGATCATGCACATGAATTGAACTGCATCCCCAAAATGATGCAATCTGTATCATTTAGGTGCCAATTAATGTACCATATGGAAACAACATTATGAAAGGCAACCTAGGGTCATGCACATGACTTGAACTGTATCCCCAAAATGATGCAATCTCAAATCATTTAGGTATCAATTAATTTTGCAGTTGCCAAGTCCTTTGCAGGTACTTAACAATAACAACAACAACAACAAACTTTCATGGACTCTGGTTAATTAGCCTACTTCAGAAAATAAATAAATAAATAAGAGGCACCAACAGCCATCATACAATTACTATGACCAAAACAAGAGTACCTACCACCAAGTTTAAGACAAAAGAATTAAGCATAATGTGAAACATGAAATCTGTACACCAAGAGTTTTAAGGTCAAATTACACCCAAAAAAAAGTGTTAAGTATCAAAACACCTTCTGCTTCCAATTTCAAAAACCAGTTTATCAGAATGTGCTTAATTCAAGCAAATGCTAACTCTCGACAATGTTCGAAACATGTTATGAAGACTCCCTTTGGTTATCAAGAATATTTTACAAGAAAGTAATTACCAAACAAAGTAAAATAGAAGAAAATGTATTCACAAAGGTTTTTGGTGCTGAAAGCATTGTAAAATGTAGAATTATCATTCTGAAAGTCCTCATTATTGAATTCCTATATAAGATCATATTGAGGGAAATGCTCTAGTGCAGGCCTGGCTATTGATAGTGCTGTTTACAGGCTTTCTTGGCAACCAAACCAAGAAAAGAATGAAACACAGTTCATGTGATACTTTACCTACGTGGGAGCCTTCTAATGACAGCCTCATCGAGGTCAAAAGGCCTGTTTGTGGCTGCAAGTACAAGAACCCGCTCTGTGTCCTTTGTACGTAAGCCATCCCAGTTGACCATAAACTCATTTTTCATCTTACGCATGGCCTCATGCTCCCCTGGATTTTCTCTTCGGCCCAGCATGCTATCAACCTATAGTGAACAGCAGAGAGAGAAGGGCTTTAAACACAGTTAACTAGCACAAACCCAAATTTGAAATACTAAAGGAGGAATATATAGAGTGTACCTCATCAACAAATACAACACTAGGGGCAATTTTACTTGCAAGTGAGAAAACAGCCTTCACATACTTCTCACCCTCGCCAAACCACTGAAGAAAAATAGAAAAGAAACAGAGCTCTGAATTAGGAACAGCTACAATATGGAATCAAATGAATAAAAAGAAATAAAATTTTCAGCATCATTGACCTTTGATGTTATACTTGACATAGAAATATTGATGAAGTTTGCACCAGCTTCAGTTGCAACAGCCTTTGCAAGCATTGTTTTCCCAGTTCCAGGAGGTCCAAATAAAAGTATGCCCTTGCAAGGCTGTCCATTAAGAACTAAAATCAGAATGCATGTTCAAATACTCACTAAAAAATCAAGGTCATATAGCTGAACAAAATGCAAAATCTTAAGAGTGAAGAAAATGTTGTAACAAATTCAGGAAATTTGGATATAGCAATTGCAGAAAGATAAAAATTTGGTGTACAAAATTCAATTTGAAAGAAAATTTAAAAAAAATCCTGTTGCAGGAAATGCCACACATTAAATTAGTGTTATGCCATAATTACCACAAACTTCGATGTGGCAAAAGATTGGATTCCAGAAACTCAAAAGTATTCATCGTGAAGCACCTCAATTTGAGTTTCAAACTTAAGAAACATGTTACAAAGCAAAAGTACGTAGCAAAAAAGTTTGGTTTTGGACGGTAAATAGACTACTGTTTTCAGCTGGTGCTCAACTCTTGGATAGAATTTTGTGGTTGCAATTGCATATATTCCAGACTTGCATTCATTAAGTGAAAAACAGAAAATGTAAACTTTATAATTGATGGGAACCTTGTTAGATATGTTTAAAAGGGCAGTGTTTACAAGTAAACTGGTTAATTGATGACAACTTTCCTTATGAAGAACCTGGATTGTGATCCAAAGAGTAGTTTCCAAAGACTTTATTTAAACAGAGTATTAAAGAGTAAAACAGACATATACTTAATTAAGATAAATAACATAAGACAACAAAAGGAGAAACATGCGTTCCAACTGGTGAAAGCCAAAGCCAGAAAACACATCAACAATAATGACCTCAGACAATTTAGATGAAACAGCTTATTGCTAAAAAATGAGAAAAGTGACAACCTTCGTCAATTGCCCTTTGCAAAAGAGCTCAGGCCTCTGTAGAGGAAGCATCACTAATTCTTTCAATGTATCTTTGACATTTTCAAGAGCCCCAATATCATCAAATGTAACTCCAATGTCACTGGGAGGGATGACATCAGCTAAAAGCCTCTTCTCAAATTCATTTTCAGTTACAACATCCTGAGATTGGCCAAAACAATCACTATGTAGATTAATACACAATTAACCTTCAAAGAATATATTCACTTCAAATGTTAGCCAAAACAGAAGAAACTAAATGTAGTACATCATTATTTGCAAGAAGGTATAACAATGACCTTAAGTGACTTCTTTGAGTTCTTAGATTCATTCTGGACAGCCTGTAACATTCCAATCCCATAGTTGATGCTGGCAGAATCAGAGTAGCATCAAAACTTTGTAATTCACATCTGCAAACTAGCAGTTCAGGTAAAAAATATGGATAAAGGCAATAGAAGACTAGTTATCAAGTACCTATCACTAGACAAAACAGGCCTAGCATTGGAATCAGCTTCAGGATTCTGCATTAAATGGTGGCTTAGAGCCCATCCAATGATCTTCTCAGCAGCTGAAATACAAATCCAAATCCAAATGTTCAGGAGGAAAATGTGATTGGAAGTGCTAGATATCCCAACATATATCTTTGGGTAACATCGGTACTCAGACTATCAATACAAGACTTACTTTCATTTGCAAGGGTTTGATCCTTGATGCACAAAGAGTCAAGTCCTTCACATTCCATTCCACTCCGACCTAGAACCTATGCATCCATTTGAGACACAAAAACAACATTAATCATTTCTAAAAAGACATGTCTATTACCTACAGAGTCAGAAACTCATCAAGTCAAGCATAGTGGAAAGCAGACTCCTGCGTGTTTCAAAAATAAATCAGATACATTTAGACCTTTTTCTGGTCCCAAACAAGGCAACTGGCCTTGATTGGTTACTAGGCATAACGCTAAGCACAGTAAATAATGGAAGATATAAAAGAATCAAACAACATAGAGAGATGCACGCAGATATTCTAAAACTTATAACCTGCAGGACCGATTAAAAAAAAACTCTTAAGAGCCTAAAACTGAAAAGATCAATTGTGAAGAGTAAAACATCCTTTATAATCTCAATCTTAGCTCATAAATCAGTATCTCCAACCCTTTCCTCCAGATAATCCAAACCATTAATAAAGCTAGATTCCTGAATCAACTTCAACCCTCTATCTGCCAAATTTCCCTTGAGGAACTGTCAACAAGCAGTCTCAGAAATCAATCTAGCTATGACCAGGTGAACCCCAAACAATAACAGAAAACTATACAAAACACAACTTGTAAGGATGAATAACCAAATATTTCTCTTTTTTTTTTTCCAAATATACAACAAATGATGAGCAATGACAAGTCATCCCAACCTGATAAGTCACTGAGTTCCTAAACTTATGTTCTATGCCATGTAAAAGAAAATAGCTTGGAAACTCCCATGGGTAACTCCTCTCTTCTCAGATGTAAACTTTAAACAAACTTATTTCAATATTTTTAAGCTTGTAAATTGGCTCCAGCAACCTGTCATACTTAGAACAAAACTTCAATATTATACATCCTATAGCTAAATGGCAAACGAAAACTTCATTGTTACCTACAAATTTGCAAAGACCACAACCTGAACCACTTTAGATAGGAAAGCTGGTAAAAGGACAGGTAACAGACTTATTATTTATATGAGAAGACAACCCACCCCACCCCCCCCCAAAAAAAAAAAAAAAACCTAGCATAGCTATAATTATTACAATATGTACTACAGGTGACTAAAAGCATGTTTGGTTCAGCTTCCAAGTGCTTCAGCTTTTTGACACTATTCATGTTTCATAAGTTCAAATTTCCCTCTTAAAAACTTATATTTTTAAACTTTTTTTTAACCTTAAAAAGACCTCAAACACTAAAAGCTCAAAAGCTTCAAATCCAAGCTTTTCATAAACTCCCTTTTTACTTACTTTTTCCTATCTCTAAAAGCAACTTTTACATTTTTCCTCCAATAAAGATTTAAATTTATCACTCATGAACAGTACAAAAAAAAGTAAAAGCTCTTACAAGCTAACCCAAACATGCTCTTAACTAGAGTGCTGAAGGTAGTAAGATAATTTGGCACCAATGCAGAATATCCATGATACTGAGGGGAACAGAGATGGAAAAACCAGAATTACTTAAGATGTTGCATGTTATTACCCAAAAGACAGCAAAAATGCAGCTGACAACAGTATTAAAAAGTAGATGCAGAAAGAGAATCTTCTAACATTACATGGAATTTAAGTTTCAGTTACAATTCCCACAGAAAAAACAACTATGACTATCAGAAATCTACTTCAATCAGTGTTTTCATTTGCAGATGGTGACAAATACCAGAAAGGCCAAAATCTGCTATGAATTCATAGCAGATAGTGTAGGGATGTCAAAAGCGACCATGTAAAAAACAAAAAATATAAATTTAGTAGATAAAATAACAAATAAAACTTGTAGGAAAGAGGCACAATATACTTAATAGCTTATAAAAATTAACAAAAATAAAAAAATAATATTTGCAAGCAAATAAAGTCATAAAATCAACTAGTTATTAAGAAAATAAAACACTAAAGCGGAGTTCATAAGTCACATAATAATGGCCGCTATAATGGTTATGGCATCCCTATTTATTTTGTGCTATGCTATCTGCTATAGCAGTCACAGTGGCTGCTATTGAGAACACTGATTTCAATAAAGTAAAGACCTCTTGGAAGAATATAAGCAAGACCTATCAAGATAATAGCTTTAAGGACCAAAAGAATGAGGTAATAAAAAACAATACACTTACAGTGCGTAGGTGATTTAGATTGGCCTTCATTTTCAGGGTTTCGGCATCTCGATCCAACTGATGCTTCCAAGATGCAAGGAGGGCTTCATCCTGCAGCGACAGAACGATAAAAGCTTCAATCATATGTTGTAATATAAAACACATTAGGCACAAAGAGAAAGGCACAATCTATAAACAAGGAAACAATACACCAACCTGCGGCATGTGAATTGTTACTTTGTTTGGAAAAAGCTTAGTCATGATTCTTGTTGCCTTTGGAACTTCCTTACCCCTTTCATGCAACCTTCCAAAACTATCCTGAGAATATTAATAGACAATATATGTCATGCCTCTTGAAATCAACAAAAAAATCATTGGCTTCACGATTTTAACAATTAAATGTTGGCAATCTATAAACAAAAAAGTGTTATGTAGTCTGGTTAGATAAGTAATCCCCCTTTACTTATCTATCAAATACCCTCTAAAATAATGATAAAGAGTGATTAAATACTTAAATAAATTTCAAGCTGTAAAGGATGGCAGGTTAACATACGAATTTCTTCAAATAGCCTCTAAAATATGTACAACTTTCTTCACAGAAAAGCACAACATCTATATAACTCTTGAAGTTCTCTACATACGAATTTCTTTTGTAATTATTCATAAAAGAGTCTAGTACAGATTAACATGTGTCATGTCTTCAGGTGTCCATCACACTTATTTATTTACAGTATTCTAGAAATCACGTTACATATCATAGTCAAGAACTTTAAGTAGAGGAGACACCCATTTTCCATAAGTTATGCAGTCCATATCCCCTTCAAGGAATGAAAGAGAGATGCATTACCGGAAATGCAAAGTCAAGAAGAGCAGTTTGACTGCTGCCAAATTTTGTGAAAAGCAAACCACCAGGATGTGACTGCAAGGGGAAAACAAGTTATAGTTTAAGACAATTATAATAAATCCTTTAAACAAACTTTTGATCATAGATGCATTCAAGTTTCTAAATTTACCTATTAAAGTTCAATATCAAATGCCTTACACTTTTGTAACTAACATCACAATCATACTGGATCAGTATTGAACTCAAGTACGCACATAAGGTAATTTTTATTATTTGCACAGTATTAACATTTAAGTTTAACAAGCAGATAGAGTAAAACAGCATTTTTATGTTACTGTTCTGTTACTGTCTTCCTCTTAGCTCAATTTTCCAACAGATGCACTTTCCTTTTTTACCCAGAATTATGTGTTTAAACTATTCAACATTGATTAGTATTATAAAATCATAAAGATGAAACTCATCTCCAATTTCGAAAGAATCAAAACGAATTTATACAAGAAAATGTCCAAGAAGATTCATTGGAAAATGTTCCCCTTGAAAGGTTTAAAAAAATCTGTACAACCCAAGAATGAGCCCCAAATCTAACATTTTATTCAACACTATAATCCCTGCTAGAGTTCATTAAGGGCATATTTTTTATTGAGTCTTGTTCAGTATAGATATGTATTTTTCAATTTTCATTGTTTCTTCATTCTTCAACTTTAGAAGACTGAGGGTGAGTTTGGGATTGCAGTTGGGAGTTTTTCATTTAGTTGTACAATGCTTTTAGATACATGTATGTTTGGTAATTTTTTTTCAAACTGCTTTCTCTAAAAATTACATAAAGTCACAACAAATATACAGTAATTTTATATATAAAGCAAGAAGCATCATTTTGAAGCTTTTTGGTTGTGGCTTTTACGAACAACACGTAATATTTAATAAAATTACAGAATTACCCATTAAAACCCAACCTCATTTAACTCAATTACATCATAATTTATAATATTCTATTTAAACTTAACCACTTGTTTATTTAAAGATTTCATAAAAAATTAAAAACTCATTTCTCTTTATAAGTTATTCTTCTGCGAAACCCAAAAAAACACCAATCATAAGAAACTTAAAAAACCTAAATTATTAAAAAGTAGCAAATGTTATCTATTTTAGTAATTATTCATCATATAATATTTTTAAAATTTTAATTAATCATTAATAAAATTTACCATATTTTATCCATAATACTTTTAAGAAATAAATAACCAAACCCCTCAATAACTTTCAGTCACAGCTACAACACAACACAGTCCAATACAGCCACAGCTACAGCAATAGCCACAGCACCTTCGCAATTCCAAACACCCTAAAACTCTCCAAACCCTTTCTAGAAAAATTACATGATTTCAAAGCTGTGACACCTAGAATCCCACATCTAGTGGTTTCAACTATCATGAACATCTTCACATTGAAGGCTACTCTGATGCATATTTTGCAGGTTCTAATACCACTGGATATTTTGACTTTGTTTTGGGTGGGGCGGTGGGGGGGCAATCTAGAATCTTGGAGGCACAGAAAGCTAACAGTGGTGACAAAGTACTAAGTCTGAATATGGACCAATAACAAATAGCACTTATGAGTTGGTTTGGTTAAGAAACTTAGAGGAACTTGGTTTTAAACAGCTACAACCAATGAGTCTTATGTGTGAAAACCAAGCGCTACTAACACTGCCTCCAATCCAATGTCTCATGAGAAAACTAAGCATGTTGAAGTAGATTATCATCTTGTATCTAAGATTTGCATTTTGCTGACCAACTTGTTGATTTCTCACATAGCCCTTGAGTGGTTCTAGGGTCAAGTATATTTGTAATAAGCTGAGCACATATCATATGTATGGTTGTAAGAGAGGGTGTCAGAGTTCATTAAGGGTATATATGTCATTTTCTCTTGTTCAATATATATATATACCAAAAAAAAAAGTGTTTTCCAAGGTGGACTGTACATTAAACGTGCAGTCTACCTTATAAATTTACTTAAATACCCTTAATAAACTATTTCTTATGTTATTTCATTAAGGGTATTTAAGTAAATTTATAGGGGGACTGCACTTTTAATGTACAGTCCACCCTGACAAACTTGAATCCCATATATAAATATATATATATATATATGAGAAAACTGTTTTACAGAGCGGACTGCATATATATATATATATATATGAGAAAACTGTTTTACAGGGTGGACTGTATGCAGTCTGCCCTGTAAAATTACTTAAATGCCCTTAATTTTGTTTTTATATTATTTTTTCAGGGGCATTTAACTAATTTTAGAGGGCGGACTGTATGTAAAACAGTTTTCAGTATATATATATATTAGCTGTCTTCAGTTTTAAACACTAAGAAATTCTTCAAATCCCTTCTAGAAAATTAGGAATTGCTATTTTTAAACAAGATAATCTGAAGCAGATAAAGAAGGAAATCATATATAAATCAGGATTCCATTATGATTATATGAGTATATAGGAATTAAATTGTAATATTTAGTTAGTATTCTTATCTATTGGGATTTATATCTTTCAATAAAGATTCCCATTAGGGGTCTAATTAGGATTTTAAGCATATTAGGGTTTTCTATTTTCTATATAAGTTTGTACTAGGATTATACAGGATAAAAGATTAGTTGAATTGTCTTCCAAAATCCCCAACTCTGCCATTCTCTTCTCATCTTCACCTCTTCCGTTAATTATCCAAAAACCCCTTTCTTTGTTCTACATCATAGTCCCTTAGGTTAGACATATATTAACCAATACGAATAAAAACAGAATATCATTATTTCACCTCTAAAAATAACTTTCTTAATTATCAGCATCAAGTTTGCTACAGATGCACAAACACAAGTACAAACACAACCATATGGACACAAACGAACCAAAATATATGCTTCATGGCTAACTTAAATTATGTGGAATTCTCAATCTTCTGTTTTCAATTTTGAAAGTTAAGGAATCATTAAGACTACAAAAACCACATATTCTGAAGTCAATTTAAGGCAACCAATTTTTTTAGCTGTGATTTATCTTGCTGTTATCTACCATAAGCAGAGGCCAAAAGGGAATGTTCATTTTACAGAGATACCTCATCCAATGAGTGTACATTTTGGTGCAATGATAGCAGAAGAGAACCTGAAAATAACACAAAAAGATAAAACCAAGAAATATACCTTTTCCTTGCGATTATCTGTATGAGTGTGTGAACCAATTGCAATAATGTTATCAGGAAGCTTTTCAAGTTTGCTCTTAAATGTTAGATACCAGTCCGTATTTCCAACAATAGACTTTTCAACATCTTTCAAGAACAGAATAAAAGGAGCAGTTCTGCTCTCACTGTTTATAACCTGATAAAAGATCAAATAAAGTAAACATGAAACCCCATGAAATCATTTCCTGAGTTAGAACCCAAAAAGGGGGAAAAAGAGTCTTACCTCAAATAATGTGTTAATAAGTAACTTGTCCAAATCTTCGGCAGCAGTGTTCTCCAAATGAAGATCAGAAACTAGAGAGAGGGACAGAGGAAGATATTTAATAATTCGATCTCAGAAAGACTGAATAAAGAAGCATAAGATTCAAGGAAGGACCAAATCAGGAAACAATTAAATGAGTGCAACATTACCCTTGCAGAAAAATCCATGACCTGCCTCGCAAATATCTCCAAGGTCAACTCCATCAGGTATGGGTTTATCAAACCTCACACCAATTTTTGACATAGGATTCTCCTCAAAAAGTAATACAACCATTCCACGAATCCCATAGGGTGGGCCTCTGTACATGGAGTTAATAACACATTAGAGCAGAGAACCAAAAAAACATCTTGTTATGCCAACAACAGGTACAAACATGTAAGAAAAAACATTTGAAAAAAGTAGATAGAGAAATGGCAACTTTTGCCAAGCTGGGTTCAAGTAAAATAGCACATAGATTGTTAGATATAGCTAAAACATGCATGGGGGCATAAATTTAATTTCAATAGATAAAGAACATGGTAAAATTTTTGAGAAGCTGTCCTTCAGACTGATATAGTTTGCACTTGATTAAGAATAATTCAATTGAGGCCATGAAAGAACAAAAAAGTAAATAAAAAGTAAGAATAACAATATATTTAGGAAGGTGTCACCAGATGTAGACAGATTTGGGGCAAACAAAACCAGTCTATGTAACTTTCTTGTTAACTTTTTGAATATATCAGTTTAGCTGTTCTCAGCTTTCTCTGGTTATTCTCTTCTATCTAACTCAAATTGCTGAAGAGAAAACTAGCCCAAGGAAATTGTTGGCCTTTTTTACCTAGATGGGGAAGCAGTTGGATATAGCCCACCAGAAGGGAGAAATTTTACTCTGTCACCTACATAGATCACATTAGAACTGTCACCAGGTCAAAATCCAAGAAAGCATAAAACTTATGAAATGACAAAAGCTAGAATCTAGTGAGGAAGACACCAAAGAAAAAACTTCAAGTAGCATACCTTTCTTAAACATTTGATTCTTATATGTACCAGAGGATGAGGGTTTGGTATCAGCCTCAGTCTTTGGCTGAGATTCTGGGCCACATGAAGAAGGGGCAGTCGAAGTGCTAGATATGTCTGCTTCAGCAGCTGATGGATTCAAGCTCTTGCCCAGATCAGTGGGTGTGGAAGTTCGTTTTGAGCAGGAGCAGGATTTTTCAGCATTAAGTCCATCCTTTGGCAACTCTGCTTCCTTTGAAGACAAGCCCTACAACCAATTTTACCATTGATGACTTACCAACTTTTTCTTATCTGTAATTTATTTAATGATCATAACTCTCCAGAAAAATCAACATAGCAATCAAAAGAAGAGAAAAACAGGGTCAACAATCAAACAAGAATGTAACAATTAAAGATATCTTACACCCAAAAACAAATGGCTATCAAATATGAGCAATTTAGCCCCAAAATAATGAGCAAGTGCTTTGGCCAACATCTCCTGATAAATCTCAGATCCTGCAAAAACATTTGCATAAGAATACTTGCATCTGCAGTTTAGCACTAATCTATCATGCATAAAGTTAATACCACAATGGGCCAGAAAAATAGTAAATTGCACACCTGCAGGACCAGAAAGCAAAATTCGTGGATGCACAGTAGCTAGATCCAAGGTATACTTCGCATGTTCTTTGTGCTTGAGGTGTATATAGGATGCTGCGATCAGCACATTTTTTGTATTTTCACTGGAAAAAATGGGGATATAAATCACTAACTAATGATGCCCAATGTTACTTAAGAATGCAACAAAGAACTAACATTCATACACAGATATTAAATGACTGTAACCAGTCAGTTAATTGAGAATAAAATTTAAGAAAGGCAATAGCGCACAATAAGGAAATCAGTAGCCTGTTGAGAAATCGAGATTATCTCTATTGATGATATGACCAGTGAGGGAAACTAGAGAGAAACATCAGTAGCAAAACTAACAAAAACGAACAATAAATGCTTGTATTGAGGTTGAATAATGTCCATGCCAGCAATAAGTCATCACATCATCATAATAATCCCATATCAAGTTTCTCAGAAAAAACTACAGTTACATTCTCAGTTACTCCTCTCTGAACCTTTTTCTCTTGTTCACTCTCCAAGTCAAGTCCCCATCCCTGAAATTCAGGATCCAACCAGATCCTCACCCCATTATTGATAGAACTTTTGTCCATTAAGTGCCCCTAGTTGTTGAGTACTTGAATCCTGGAAATATTTCTCATTATGCATCCTCCAACCACCAATTTTTTTTATTTACTCCATCTCTTTCTTCTTTTTATTAACATAAAATTCTAAGTCCTTAATTTACTTCGTTCTTTGCCTTTCTCCATTATTGTATCATTTTCGTTGACTCAAGCATTCCAAATGTCAGATTACTTAGTCCTCCGAAATCCACACACTCATAGGGCCCTCTTATCTTTCACCAAGGCCACAGCTCATGATACCCATATCAATCTACCTTGGTTCACGTTATGGAGCTGATTTGAACAATCTTAAGATGGATTATTTCAACACCATTACCAATGAGGTTTTATGGCATCACAATAAACAGAGGAAAAAAAAAAACTAGAAACTTTACTACCATAAGTTAAGTTCTATGTGCTCTACGTGTTCTAACTCTATGCATAAAATCCTAAGCCTAACTTCCATAAAGGCTAAAAAAGGAACCTTCTTCTGAATTTGAACTCAAATCAAAAGTATTTAAATCATACTACATCAATAGGAAAGGTTTCATCATGTCATTCAGTTCCACCATAAAAGTATCTTAATTTACTTGGCTCTCTACCTCTCTGCCCATTATTGTTTTATTTTCATTGACTTCCAGATGCCAGATTATAGTCCTCCAAAATCCATGCAATCATAGAGCCCTCCTATTTTTCACAATGGAGATGGCTCATGATGCCCATACTAATCCTATATGGTTCAATTCAAGTTATAGATTCTAGCCAATTTGAACAATATTCAGATGGAAACAAACTCAAAATTGAAGGTTTTTAGACCATCCTGTGCCAACCGGAAAAGTTCCATCATGTCATTTGGTTCCAGCATAAAAGAATCATATCAGTTGTTGTTCTTACCTGATGGAAAACTGTTCATGGGCATGGGGCATGGGGCATGTATGTATATATGTATCTATGTATGTATGTATACATGTATAATATGTATCATGTCATGCATGCTTCTATTGTACCTTAAATAATAGGGGAAGCTATCAAATGAAACTTCTAAGTTCCTTCCATCAAGAATCCCAGCTTTAATGTCTTCTCTAAACACAGCACACTGGAGTGACATACTCGATGTTGATGCAGGCTGTGAATCCCTTGTCCACTCATTTCTTTCATCCAATACCTGTTTACAGATACTTTTGCTCAATTTCAGATAGCAACTAGTTGATGGAGCAAACATCCTCAAGAAAGGCCTTAGAATATTATTCATCCTAGAGAGTTTTACATTGCCTGACTCTATGCTGGAGTCCCGATTGCAGTCAGGAGGGAGAATCTTGTCCATTGCCCCAACATCTGCAGCTTTATCACTCTTCATGTTTGCAGAGGAATTGCCTTCCAAGCTATCCAGCTCAACATCTATACCATCATGAACTACTGAATGAGCGGGGAAATCAGTCACTTGGTGGATCTTACTAGTGGCCTGAGCAGGAGATTTCCAACGAGATAAATCAGGCCTTGAGCTTGAAAGAGATGCTAACACTGCAGCTCCAGCTACAGCTGATGGATCCCCTGCTTTCCTCTCAAGTTGCCGAAACTTCCCGGAGCAACTATGGACCTCTGTGCCACAAACTGTAACCTCAGTCATGAGTTGCTGAAATATCTATCACAATTTAAGTCAAGGGCATAATCCAGGTAAGCATAGACGCAACAGAATACATGAATTTATAAATATCAAATGCAAAGTAGGCACTCCACTCATATAAAAGGATACATAAGCATGGTTCCTGAGCGGACCAAAGACAACTTCATCACCAGATTTAAGCACGCAACTGGAATTTTTCTTGACAACTGTCCCATTTACTTGCACTGATCCCTTGCTTCCCATGCTTTCTAACATTGCTACTGCACTGCCTTCATGCTGATCATGTCGACAAATAATGAGTACTCATACTGCATATACATATTTAAGGAGTTCAACTCCACAAATAAAACAAGAACAATGATTTGCCAAACAAAATGGTAAAATCCCCAAATCCAAAGAGCAAATGCATTTTTTAATAGAGCACTTCAAATATCCATCACTGGCCCAGGGATATAACCATGTAAAAGCTCCTATCAGTCTTACAAACACTGTTAAAAATAATTATCATGCTAAATAATGAGAAAATACCTGCGTCTGCTTGATCTTGCAAAGAATAGTACTGCTTGTCTGATCCCCTAATTGAAAATTGCAATTTCTACTTGAACCAATTGTAAAATTTGATATGAAAATGGGTACATTTGGGTTCTGCAGTCCACAAAAAGTTTGATTTATTAGATATAAAAAAAATAATATTTGATACAAGTAAAAACTTAGCTAAGAAACTATCCGTTTCGGACATTTTCACTTCTACCATACATAGAAATGCTTTGATCACAAAAAGAGAAGATTGTTATAAAAACAGCTTTGACCAATCAAAGTCTTGGAAGATAACCCCACATTACCTGTGCCGACTGAGACAAAAGCCTACACCAAGGCACAGAAGTTTCAAAATTTGAGTTCTGTTTCTGATGATTGGCCAATGAAGAAAATGAACTCCTGCTCTTATCTACTTGAATTGGTGTAGAACCTAGAAAACAACAAAGCAGATATCCAAATTCACTATAAAATATGAAATGACACTGAAATTCAAATATCCAAATGTATATCCAAATCACACAAATAACACTCATTGAAGCGACAATATGTCCAAAATGTTAATTTTTTATAAATTTTTTTTTTTTTTTTTGTATATTTTAGTAATTATACAGATAAATAAGCTGCAGCCACAGCACTACACAGAATACACGTAACCAAACCCAAGTTCAGGAATGTGACAACTTTCAAAAGCACAAAAGAACCAACCTTCCGTGATGGGTGCCACCACAGCCACAGCCGATGAAGTCTCACCCTTTGCAGCACTCACGCTGTCCCCAGCGATCGGAACCTCACTGGCCCCGCAATCTCCGGGATCCACCGCCGGCGGCGTGGCCATCTCCTTGGAATTCTCAGCCACCGGCATCGTTTTCTCCGCATTTTCTACCTGAAATTCCAAAAACAAGCCAAGAAAAAACCAAAAAATTTTCCTCAAAACCCCGAAATTCGCAACCAAATACATGAAATTAAAGTAGAAAAAATAAACGACTTTAAGAATTGGTTTGGCGTGGCACCTTCTGCCGCTTCGGAGACGGAGGCTTATCGTCGGAAGAGGAGGGTTTCTTGCCACTGTTACCAGAGAGAGATCCACTTCGTCTGGTTGAGACCATGACTCTGGTGTTTGGTTGAATTATTTTGTTTGGGTTTTCTTTTTCTTCCGTTCCTTTTCTCTGTGCAATACACTGAAGCAGAGAGATGATAAATAAATTATCGTAATTTTTTTTTTTTTTTGTTTTTTATAGACAAAGGCATTTATTTTATTCGTTTTCATTCAAGTGGTAGGGGACGGAGCGTTGGCAATCGAACTCAGAACCTCCCGTGGGGTGACTCTACCCACTAAGTTTCAGACCATTGGGCCGAGAGTTGGGAGTTCGTAGGTGTTTGTGTTAGTTACGTTCACTTACCCATAAACCATTAGCGAGTGACCTAAGCACTGGCATTATCTCAACAATTTAAAAAAAAAAAAAAAAAAAATGGCAAATACCCATAGCTTACCTTTGACTTTATGAGTTCCATAATTTTTACCCTTGACATTCTAAATTCGGACATTTCCCCTCCAACATATTTATATGGGTAAATAAGGCCAATGTTAACACAAAAAGTTACATGAGACGTGCGGTGTAATAGTATTTTTAAATTGCTATTGACATTGTACCATGGCTTATAGGCCCAACCACAAAGTCACAATACTTATAGTAAATACAAGTAAAAAATTTCATAAATAAAACAATTAAAAAAACTCAAACCAATTATTCATTAATTACAATTAATCTAATCAAAAAGTTAGAATAATGAGGATGTTCTCTTTGAGGGTTTTAAGAGGAGCTCTTTCTTCCTCTATGGGAGTTTGGTTGTTTTCTTGTGCTAATATTGTGGAGAGTTTTTTTTTTTTCTTTGTTCTCTAAGTTTGGTCTTTTGAGTTGGTCTCCTTTCAAGCAAAGTTATGGCTTAAGTAAGGTTGTCATTTTTATATCGATATGTGTATCAATTTTGTTATTGAAACAATACATATTGGATTTCAGCATGTACCATTTTAAATTTATAGTTATAAATATTTATTTTATATAAATTAAATTAGTATGACTTTACAATGATATTTAATAAGGGAAAAAATTAATGTCCAAAAACAATTAAATTTATATCCATAAGATTCATGTTTGAAAAAAGTTAATTAATTATTTTTACTAAAAAATGAGTTAAATTCATACTTTTCACCTTTAAATTCATGGTAGGGTTTTTACTTCGTTTTTCTCATTTCCATATTCTATCAATTTTGTAGTTAGAGATAGCTCTAACAAAATCTACTTTACCATTTGAATTGGTACTCTAGTGAAAGACAGGGTCTTTGATTTGGTTCTCCTCCTAATCCAAGACCAATATCCCACTTTAGAGAAAATCCTTTTTCCCCTACAACTTTCCTTTTCATTTGAATTGTACTTCTCCTTTTTTGCCTATCTTCTTCCATGTCTCCATCTATTATTACAAACCACACCTTGCAATCTACAATGCCAACGCTACTAATGTTGCTTTTTCTTATGGTATGATTTAGGTTATAGAGAAATATTTAAAAAACAAAGAGGAAAAATAGGATTGGAGCCCAATGGAGAAGAAAGCGAAGGAGATTAGTGTAGGAGCAATCGCCATACCCAAATTCTTCCTTTTTTTCTCTCTCTATCGAAAGTTTAGTTTTGAAGTGTATCAACGAAATTTGATATATTGGCTAATTCGTCAAAATTTAATTATATTAATTAGTACACCAAAATTTATTTGATAAGTATAATTTTGATCAATACAACTAAGATTTACAACAATACGATATCAAACATATATTTCATCAATTTTGTATTAAATTTGGTATGGATCAAGTATACTAGTTGATACGCACCAAGATTGACAACCTTGGGTTTAAGGGTGTGACGACCTTTGGCTGAGAGTGGAAAACATGTTTTTTTGCATCATAAAGTCAAAGGATTTAAACCTTAATGATGGTGGATGATCCCAATTCTAGTACAATGGTGGCTCAAATGTAAGGTTGTTATGAACCTTATTTTCAATGATGTGATTAACAGAGAGCATGAAAGAGTTGATTATTGTGATAGGGATTTGATCATCTTGGTCAATTAAGGTGGAGCGACGAAGAGATGATGGAGCTCTAACTTTAGTTTCCTATATTAGTGTTGATGTGAGTGGAGACCAATGATAACAATTTCACTTGATCTTTGTCACAACAAGACAAGGGGGAATATTTCTCCCTTTAGGATAAAGATTTAGGATAAGAATAAGGAAACATTTTCTCTTTACAACATTTGACAATAAATTTTCCCCACCTTGTGAGGAGTCTCATTCCCAATAAAATAGTAAAAAAATAAAAATATTATCGAATCAAACTCAATTTAAATATTTAATGCATAATAATAAGTAACACCAACTATTTATTCTTAATTTTAACTCAATTCTACCATCTAAATACTTTAAATCAAACCTAACACAACACTTTTTTTAACATTAATTCTACTCTTTCAAATATTTTGTTTTAAAATAATAAAATAAAATTGGTTAAATTAATTTTATAATATAAATTGGTAAGGGTGAGAATTCTTATAGGCACAAATTATCAAAGAATATTTGTTTATTAATGAACTCTTATCAATGTAATTTGATATAATAATATAAATCTTTACCAACATGATTTATGTCTTTATATGATAAATTAGAAAAACCAATATTAATTGGATTGTTAGTAAATTTAATTAATTTCTAACAAACTACATTGATAAAAGTAATAACACCAATATTAGTCACTTCAATATATGCTTTATGACCATTAATTAGCCATTAAAACTAATGTCACACCCACAACTTTAGAATGTGAAAATTTTGTTGGTACATTTCGATCCCATTTATTTTACTTATTTTTACCAAAGCTAGCTTTTCCTCCACTTTTCCTCCACTTTTCATCTCCCTTCCTTAGTCCTTTGCTCTCCTCAAGACTAAAACCCTAGAGTCATAATCATCTAAGCCTCCTTTAGCTTCACCCAAATATCCCATAAAAATCCAATCCTTTAACAACAACAAAGATGTTTTTGACTTTTCAAATGATTATGAAATAAATTTACTTGTAAGCATTTTCTTCGCTTCATTTTCCATTTCAATTTCTTGTATTTCTATTTTTGAGCTTGTTATTTTTCTCTTTGTTCTTTTTTATGTTGATGTTTTCATTTTCCTTTTTTTTTTTGGATTAATTTTCTTATGGGTTTGTTTGTTTTTCAATATTTATATGTAGTTGGAACTGGAATTGGATTTTTGAGTATTTTGATTTTCTTCTAGATTTTTGTTTTTCAATTTTTTCCTTTAGAAAAACTTTGATTTTTAGGTTTTTTAATTTTATTTTAGATATTTCATCTTATACTTCCAAAAAGATATTTAAGGGCAATAAATAAGGACATGTTAAAAGGATAAGTGCTCAATGAGATAAAATGTTTAAGAGTGTTATATTTTATTAATTGTATATTTCTAAATTTTTATTTATTAAATACAAGAATTACAATTGCCTCCAAGTAGATGTTTAATTAGATATAAATTTACAAATGTTGAACATACAATTAATCTACTAAAATTATTTTTTTTTCTATATAAGACCTTTTATGGATGCACAAGATGATGGAGAGAACAGGACAATTCTGATAAGTGGTCTTATGTCTATAATATAAAAATAAAATCTATGTTAATGAATACAACATTTCAATTTGCTGATGTCACTTGATATCACATCAATGTATCCATAACTGAGAAAGAATAAACTAACATGATTTTACTAACATTGAAAGCTTATAAATACCAATATGTTATAAGTTTTCATTAACATGAAACTAGTAATGACTCATTCCCCTTTGAGTAACGAGAATGAGGAACGAGAATGAAGCAAGCTTTAATCATAAAAAATCCTTATGGGCTCAGAGGAAATTCTTATCTCTAGTCTCCACCTATGTCCATTTGTGGGGATGAAGATGAGATAAGGATGGGGAGAAACTCACTGGCCTTGTGATGCCCCATTTCCGTCCCTAGTAAAGACCATTATGTTAACGATGGGTTTGGTAGAAAAGTAGTGAAACTTGTGTTGCTCAAGTTGAAGGTTTCCCAGTGTTTGCATGATAGAAATGTGTTTATTACTTGTAAAATCTACAAGCAAAATAGACACTATACACCTATACGTAGAACCCATAGATGCTTAAGACTTAGAACCAATTAATTTATTATATATAATTTTTAAGGTTAAATCCCCAATTTAGTCTTTCAACTATTATAAGGACCTACGATTTGGTCCTTGAACTAAAAAAAATCACTGATTTAGTCCTATTGTTTACCAATTTAGCCCCAAGTTAGTCCTTCGGTACAAAAACAGATGACGTGTCTCGTTATTAACGTGACATGTGGTCATTATGTAATGGATGCGTTAGTTGTTTTTTAATGGAAGGACCAACTTAGGGTCAAATTGGTAAACACTATGATTAAATCATGGATTTTTTTAGTTTAGGGACCAAATCGAGGATTCATAAATTAGTCGAAGGACCAAATCGGGGGTTTAATCAATTTTTAACATATAAATGTTTAACAAAAAGTACCTTATAATATTTAATATTTCAAAATGTACTTCATTTTTTTAACTAAAATTTCTAAGTCAAATTATGCAGAATAATTTAATATAATTCAAAATCAATAATTCCAATATGTTTAAATCTAATAAAGAACTAAATATCAAATCAAAAAATAAAACCAGGTATCTATATCATTACAAGTCTTGATCCTCAACGTCTTTAGTCTCAACACCTGAAGTGGTAAATAGGGAAAAATGATATAAGATATACTCAGTAAGTAAAACATGAGAAGTCTCAATTTTTTAAGTAAAATATTCTAGTCAAGAATTTCACAGACAATGCTCTTATCTCAAACTAGATAATCAAGAGTGTTATATGTAATAAATTTAAAAAGTAATCTATTTTAGTTTAATCAAATTATGATCTCCTCAATAAGCCATAGCTAACATTTACTAAACTCCCATTGACAAGCACTAAAAAGTTACTAATATTTATCAAAACTCTTACAGACAGGTGATGGAAATAATATAATGAATCAATCCTATAGAAGTACATGTCAATATGGCAAGTATTTATTAAAAACTTCCACCAATAAATGTTAGAAATAATTATGACTATG